ATACATTTAAGTTATTGTAAAAGATTATTAGGGGTTAAGACATCTACGGCAAATTTTATGGTTTACCAAGAATTAGGAAGATTGCCTTTGGAAATTATTAGGAAATTTAGAATTTTTAAATACTGGTTAAAATTAAAACAAACTGACAAATGATGATGCTAGGATGATGATAGAATAATGATGATGATGATGATGAGGATGGTGATGATGATGTTGATGATGATGATGGATTAATAGAATGTTGATGATGATGATTATGATGATGATGATGATGATGATGATGATGATGATGATGCTAGGATGATGATAGATTGATGCTGTTGTTGATGATGATGATGATGTATATTAAGATGATAATGGTGTATTACTATTGATGATGATTGACAAGGCTGATGATGATAATCAGTCACGATGAGGATAATGATGATGAAAGATTTGACGATGCAAGAGACAAACCAATGCAAATGGGAATTGTATGTATGTGGGTGTATGTGTGTTTACGTATTTATGTAATAAAAATGTCTTTAAAAATAAACAAATTATAAAAAAAAAAAAAATGTTAGAAAATGGTAGTGAATGGATGAATGGAGTAAGAAACGAACTATTTAGAATGGGAGTAGGGTACATATGACAATATGGAGATACCTATACATCCGATTATATTATGAATATTATTTAAAGCAGAATGTGTGATATATTTACGCAAGAATGTAAAGAAAACTTAGATTCATCTTCTAAGTGTTCACTGTACAAGTTTATTGGCGAAAATTTCTGTTTACAACCATATTTAACAGAACCCATAGGAAATACAAAATCTGAGAGAAATTACAAAAATTAGACTGTCATCTCACAAATTAAATATTGAAATTGGTAGGTATAACAATGTAGATAGGATTGAAAGAACATGTGCATACTGCAACAGTGGGGATATCGAAGATGAATTTCATTTTATATTAAAATGTGAATGTTTTTTAGATTTAAGAAAGCGTTTTATTAAGAAATATTACTATGAAAGACCTAGCATGTATACATTTATCCAACTTATGGAAACAGGGAACAAAAAAACAGTTAACAAATTTAGCCAAATATAGTAAACTGAGTAATAAGAAAAGAAAAGACTATGTACCTATATAAAGAGGGATGTCTCTCTACACCATACCAATGGGTATGTGAGTGTATTTGTGTGTGTTGGTGTATTTGTGGGGGTGTATATGGGTGGGAGTGATTGTATTGTATATCCTTGTATATATGTTTATTTTGAACTGATGAGCCGTAAGGTTCAAGGTAATAAAGAACTGAACTGATGTGTACATGAAACCACAGGTAAAAATACAGGTTTATCTACCATGAAATGGACTCTACCTTTGAAATAACAATTAACCTATATACCTAATTCCAACAGATGGTTTATCCTCTCCCAAGGGACAGGGTGATCACCACACCGTGACATTATAGAACAATACGGTTAGGTAGACAGTCCGTTGAGCCTTCACCACTGACCTGTTTAGAGTATATATAAGTAGTGGACTCCTTGTATGGGCAACTGCACCCTTAGGCATATATAGAAAATCGTAGTTCACAGGATGGTTGATATCAAAAGAAAATCCCATATGAAAAAGAGGAAAATCTTCAAAGTCCAGATTATTTTCGGACACAGAAAAAAGGGTGTTGTCCGGGCAACTAGGGCACCACCCCTGGGCCCACCACTGGCCCAAGTGAGGAAGGTAATGGGTTCTGTCCCCAGGCTGGGACATACCAAAGTCCTTAAAAATGGTAGTTGTTATTCCCTGCTTAGCGTTCAGCATTTAGAGGAATGACAACATGTGACCGGACGGAATGCTATACCGGGTACCTTCGGCATGGTATTTCGGTGAAATAGCACTAAAAAGTCGGTATTAGATCCGCGCTATCACAAGGTGGCAAGCACACCTATATACCCGGTCTCCTGCATACACACGCGCAAGCACACATACACTACACACATGGATGTACGTCCTTAAATGACCTTAGCTGTTATTAGCACGTTAAACGAAATTAAACCAAACCAAATCTCTCTACTTCTAACTAACTTTTATTTATTAGCGCCTTGCTTGGCATTTCCTCACACTTGGGTTTTAACAAACTACGTTCGGCAAGGTAGGGTATAGGGTTCTCTCCCCGTGCTGTGACATACCACAGTCCTTAAACTGGTAGTTGTTGTTCCCTCCTTAGCGTTCAGCATTGAGGGTAATGGTAATAAATGGTTCACCCAATGTCTGTATTAGACATGTGACTGGATGGAATACTGTGCTGGGTGCCTTCGGCATGGTGTTTCAGTTAGGTAACGCTCTAAAGTCGCCATCAGACCCGCGCTATGTCAAGAAGGCAATAACGCCAACATACCCTGCCTCCAGCACACACATACACACATGCACGCATACACAACACACATGGAGGCACGTCCTTAAGTGACCTTAGCTGTTTATAGAACAATACACGCTATAACACCAAACCAAATCTGACCTATGTGCTTCCTGGTTCTATCCAAAACGAACATTAAGGGGAGGTTACCAAATGTGCGAAAACTACTTTATCTTTCAAAATTGGTGAATAAAAAAGCCATACTGTCATAACGTAATGCCTTTATAATCACCTTCAGATATTGAGAGTTCGTCAGCTTTGTCCCAAAATATTGAAATATTTCCTTTATCTTCGAACTACTATAAATTGAAACTGTGGAAACGTAGTCCGTCTACCTACTATTCATAACTACCTTAAGTTATCAAATGTCAGTCAGCTCCGTCCCCGAATGCTCAAATATTTCTCCGAACTTCGCACTTCACCATATTTAGATCGTAAGTGTTAAAATATCCTAACCATTTAGTCCTAATGAACACTACAAATCTAACGCCATAATCTGTCCGGCAGGGCTTCCGGTCATTAAGTGTTTATATTTTTCGGTAAATACACGTATATATTCTACATGTAAACAATAATAGCGTGGGGTATAAATAAGATAAGTTTTGTATTTCACATTTGTGCAAAAATATATCCTGGTTATGAGTGTCAATTCCGCGAATAGGTGTGAATCATAATAGTGTAGCACTAACAATTCTAGTACATGCCTATTAAATGACATTTTTCGGAGAGAACAGGACATAAATGTACAAGGAAGTGTCAGCATACACTATACATGTAAGGCGATTATAGGATAAACAGAATTGAAAGGCTTTACGCTTAGTGTTAAAGGGGGATAACTCAAATTACCGGTACATCGTGGCATAGATACATTTTCTTCATGTGTAGTGAAACCACAAGCCGAAGCCGGAAGGTTAGCACTTTATTTTTTGGGCTGTTGATGTAAACCACTAACAGAATTCATGACCTATCAATCCGTTGGGCACGCGCCACATACCCGCCTGTCACGCGTCTTATCTCGTCAACGCATAATATCCGTTTTACTTGCGGTTCAATAAGGAACATTTAAAAATATCGCTTCACTTACACTCATATTGTGTTGTTGCTAAATAAATTTGATGTTTTCCTAAGGTTTTTGACGATTTGTTGTATATGATAATAGTTGATCATGTGACCATTTTCATAACATATCCCTATCAACCCTCGATCCATATCAGCCCTCAGGTCTCCAGACCCTCGGGCTGATAACGTTTGGGGTTGGTATGGATATGATCATATGATAACCTTATCTGAAAGTGTACGATTGAATAATATGCATATTTAATATATGTCTATATATATTTATATATTAATACTAAGCAGATCGAATGAGTTTTACACTTTGTATATTTCTTCAATATTTTTTTCTTGATTATATACTTTTCATTCAAACAAGGTGTTAGCTACGGTGACTGATTTTGGAAATCCAAGTATTTATTTCATTTTTATTATAACGAGATAATTAGTCGTTATAACAAGATAATTAGTCTTATAACGAATTACGAAGTAATTAAAACGCGATAATTAGTGATTATAACAACATGCGATGTCGTTATAACGACATAACTAGTCATTATAACGAGATAACTAGTCATTATAACGACATAACTAGTCATTATAACGACATAACTAGTCATTATAACGAGATAACTAGTCATTATAACGACATAACTAGTCATTATAACGACATAACTAGTCATTATAACGAGATAACTAGTCATTATAACGACATAACTAGTCATTATAACGACATAACTAGTCATTATAACGAGATAACTAGTCATTATAACGACATAACTAGTCATTATAACGACATAACTAGTCATTATAACGAGATAACTAGTCATTATAACGACATAACTAGTCATTATAACGACATAACTAGTCATTATAACGAGATAACTAGTCATTATAACGACATAACTAGTCATTATAACGACATAACTAGTCATTATAACAACAAAACTAGTCATTATAACGACATAACTACTCAATATAACGAGTTATTATAACGAGATACGAAATCTTTATAACGAGATGAAATAATACCCAACGTAGTTATTTGCAAAATTATTCATATGTTCTAACGGTTTTGTACTGAATGGATATAGGCTTGCCTGTTGTCCAATAAAATTGTTATTAAAACAAAATCTGTTAATCGAATTGTTGATACAACAACGGTGATTTAACTTGCACACGTGTATACACCCGATGCCGGTTGAAAATCTGGGCTGATAACAACACGGTTGGTTAGGTATGTTATGTGTTTAAAGGGGAGTATATATAGTTGTCGCAACGGGAGGGATATGAATAGTTTACTACTACCTCCATCGAAGGCGGGCGCTTGGGAGTTAGTAAGTAGGCGTATTTCATATCAGTGTACAAATCATGCCGTGATAAAAAGCTACACCTATATAAATAGACTGAATAGTTTGACGAGGCGATAAGCCATGTAAAGGTACACACATACTTTCGTTTTATTTTTAGTACCGCGTGAGAAAACGTATGTACCTGTATGTACAATACGAACTATAGCTTTACAAACGACATATCAGCAGACTCACCGTTTTTGACATGATTATAATCCCAATGATTTTCCCGCGATAAATCGCTTTGTAATCAATCACAACACTACAGCAATGGGCTATTATCCTTAGCACTGGTTACTCCAATATCCAAAACACAGCGTGTACGAATCCACACCCCATAACACGGGGTAAGGTATAGACAGGGTCCAATGTCAACACATGAAATAAACAACAAAACGCACGACGGACACGCTTGTCCGTTTTAAATCCCTATTTCCGGTCTTTCTGTGCGATTTTGACCCTTCTTTTCTCGAGTGTCAAGGCTCAAAATGGCAGCGATAACACACGTGATAGCACATGGCTAGCGAGCTCCGAGTAGACGCGTAGTATCTGTGACATATTAAAAAGTTGCATCTTAAAAGCTAGAACGGCACGCGTGTCGGTGTTATATATGTGTGTGTAAGGCGAACTGGTGATCTGATTTGTTAGTATACATGTGTGTGGGGTTTGGTATGAAGGTGGTATTAAGGGGCCTCTCCGCGCACGTGTATGATAACGTTTTCGCACTAAGATGCGGTCTGACGATAGGTTCTGTACGTGTGCCGGAATTCTTTTACACAAAAACAAACCCACGTCAGATGAAAGAAATGTTTATCAATTCAGTAAGGAAGTGTTATCTAATATTATAGTTTATTTGTCAAAACAAGTATGTTATCTTTATAAGGCCACGGATTTGCGGGTCTATTACATCTTACTAATTGAAATATACATGTATATAATGCCTTTTCATGTTATTGATCAAGATTAATTACTACTACTTCACAATTAACCTTATGCGTATACATGTATCTATATGAAACCATATATTCATTTAACTGTTTGTTATTTCGTCTGTACGTTTTTATCTATTTATTATCATTTTCTATATGAAGTGTGCTTGTCATATGCTGATCGGGGAACACACTATATGTACGTTAGAGTTCAATCGTGTGAGTGTGAGACACAGCCGTCATTGTTGAATTATATCAACGCATATACATCGTCACTGTTTGGATTGCTAGCTGGAATTAAACTGAACAATTAATGATTGGGTTTGGTTTAGTTAGGTGTAACGTCCTATGATCAACTAAGGTCATTTAGTGCCTACATCTGCGTAATATATACGCTTGCAATAGTGCGGATCTGATGCCGACTTTACAGTGCTACATCACTAAAAGACCATGCCGCAGGCACCTAGCATAGTATTATTACTGACAACGGGTAAATGGTGTGATTACCCTAAATGCTGAGAGTTAAGCAGGGTTTGGTTTTATTTTGTTAAATGTCCTTTCAACAGCTAAGGTCATTTAAGGACGTGCCTCCATGTGTGGTGTGTTGTGTATGCGTGCTTGCGTGAGTGTATGCAGGAGGTAAGGGTATGTTGGTGTATTTGCCTGCTTGTGATAGCACGGATCTGATGCCGACTTTATAGTGCTATCTCACTGAAAACCATGCCGAAGGCACCCACTACAGCATTCCGCCCGGTCACATTATACTGCAAACGGGTGAACCGGTTGTTACAATTCCCCTAAATGCTGAACGTTAAGAATGGAATAACAACTGCCAATTTTAAGGACTTTGGTATGTCCTGGAATAGCAACTTCAATTTGTAAGGACCTTGTATAAGGCCTGGGGACAGAACCCATTATCTACTCGTCTTGTGCGAACGTTCAACTCCAAGCCCAATTTACAGAATGAATATATTGCGATGCGTATCCTGATATACATGTTTTCCGATATATTGTGACAGCTTAATTGATTCCACTAGTAATACTTTACTAGCACTTTTGTACTTGACAAGGTAAATTGACGTCATCAAAACAGGACAAGCAACAATCTTCGGAATATATCTTCAGTATGAGTGAAAATTCAGCCTCAGTATGACATGGACACATTATCCTTATTACGAGAACGTCAGAGTATGCATGTTTTCAAGATTAAAATAACCTGTTGCGCTTGGCTGTGTAGCAGAGGTATGATAAACATTTGAATTAAAGCCTTATATAGATTAATGGGCGGATTGGCGAGTGATAACCACGCTTGCCTTACACGCAGGCGGCCTAGCTGGGTTCGATCTCCGAAGTCGTCGTACGCATGTATATTCGGAGAAAGTGTTTATTCCTACCCACACAACCGCAACAACACAGGTGGAGTATAAATTGGTCTGTGTTGGATGTTGTGGTATCTGTGGTGTAGCATTCAAGTGAGGTGGCACTATAAATGATGCCGTTGGAAGCACGGTCCCACAACAAACAGAACACATCACATCTCCAGCACACACGCAGGCATACACACATAGGGAGATATTAGCCAGGTGGCATAGGACAAGTAGTTAGCGCCTGATAAGGCAGCTCCTGCGAATTCCTCAAAATTGGATTGATTAATGTATATGCTAATTGTATTTATTGTATATCTATGTAATGTAAGGGGCTTAAGAGTGGCTTATGTTAGCTAGATAGGGCGCTATATCAAATGTTGCATACTATTATTAACTTTCAACGTCAAATTAACTGTTGGACACAGACAATTTAAAGGACTGTATATTAAAGAGGGGAGATCATTTTGCAGTGTAAAATACGGATGAATCAGGGCAGTGGTAAAACAAGGAAGCTGAATTGTGTGTCACAATAACCTACCTGATAGAAAGCCGCTAAAGACATCAAAGCGGCTGCATTTAATCGTTGCATGTTGTTGTTTAAGTCAGCAAGAGTTATCTCCCGTTTACTCTGCTATTGGTCACAATGGTGTCAGTCAAATCAAGTAATCGATACATGTGTTACAATCTATTGTTGACGTCTGCCTCTCTGTTCAGGCACTAGATGTGTGTATCTATAAGTTTTATTACTGGACTTCTGAAGAACTTTTACGGTTTACAGGAGAGAACGATAATCCATTATAGCAGGAAAGTCCATTGACCGACATAAATGTTACAGGTAAGTTATACAATTTCTCAGGTAAATCCATTAACAGCTATAGCTTCTACAGATCCGATAGCCCTTGGTTATACTGCAGACTAGTCGGTAGGAATTATTCTATGGTATTTTTAATTTTATTTTTAAATTATAACATATTGCTTTTGCACACTGTAGCCGGTATATACACACATGCGTTTGTTTATTTGTGATTTACGTCCCTTTAGGAGCTATGGTCATTTAAGGACGTGCCAGCTAGGTTTTGGTGGTGGAGGAAAGCCGTCGTTATCGGAGAAGAAAGCACTGACCTACGGCAGGTACCTGGAGACTGATCCACGTAGGCCTCGAAACCGCGACCTAGTGGTGGCGGGCTAGTGGTAGCAGAATGTCAGACGCCTTAACCACTTAGCCACCGCGGCCCCACTTACACATACAATATGCACATTTTCGACATGTATTATGGTATAATGATGAAACCTTCTATCACATACCCACTGAACAACGTTTTACTTTGACAAATACTCACACCTCAATTCCCTCTCCCAAATTTTAATTAGTAATGTTACATGTTTTAGGGGTATATATCGACTTTTGTTAAAAATGGCACCCCATTGATCATAATATGTACGATCACTTGGGGGTCAAAACAAAACACAAATTCAAAACACAAACAAACAACTAAAAAACCTCCAGTACACCCGGTATCCCAGTTAAACCGGCTCTGTTTCAACTGTCGAAGTATTTTTTTTATAAAAAGGGTTAACGTGTTTTAATTATTTTTGATCCTTGTACCACTGCCCAAAACCATAGCTATGCTTGGAAACTGTTTTTCTTGGATGGCAATGGCTTTAATAAATCATTTCTTGAAAGAAAACTACACGTGATGGGACCTAAATGAAAGATGATAAAGGTGAATCAAACAAACCAATCAACAACAGTGTTCTATGTGAAGAATAAGCGTGGCCAGACCAGGATTCGAACCCTGGGTCAAATTGTTATAAGACGCACCTTTGCTCTAACCAATAAGCTATCTGGGCCCATATTCACTAAACCCTTATCATGCTCAAGCATGGATTCTGTGCTGAAACCTAATTTCTTGTTCTGGTTATAACCTAATAATAAAAACTATTTTGTCAATGATTTTGGAAAAACACAAAATTAAGAGAGTTAAAGCCGAATACTGTTTTTAATATTTACATTTGACTTTTTGATCGTTTGACATGATTTAAGTGAGTTACAAGAAAGTTTGTTTCAGCACAGAATCCACGCTTGGGCATGAGAACGGTTTCATGAATATGGACCCCGGTCTTTGGAAATATCCTGGTCAAATCGCGCTAGTTATAGACAAATCGAAATTAAGGGGAGGTAACTGTAACTTCTAAAAACTACACTGGAATTCGCTATTGGTTTGCCTGTAATGTGACAAGAATCCTTAATTAAATCGTGCGCCTAAGTGACATATTTACAACGGTATTACGATAATATTTCATGGAAAAAACAACTGATCAGCAAGAAGCGGATCCCAGCGATGTACTAACATTTTGTTTCTCTGCAAACAAAAGGATGGGCTATTCCGGTTCTTAACGGGATTTCATAAATGAGTTCCTTAAAGGAAATGTCTGAACTTACTTACAGGCGATAGACTGAAGTCACCTAGGAGAAAATGAGGATTTAGGTGGGAAAGGATAAAGAAAGCATTTGCTTTTTCTTCTGGGCGGGTTACAGGGAGTTACAACTCCTCATCGTTTATTTAACCCATGCATTTTGTACTTTCCATGGATCAAAGAAATGGATGTAAAAGAGTTTTCAAAATTATGTTTGATCTTTTTTTAAACTTTAAGCAAAGAAATGAGGGAGCAATACATTAAACACACTAACGACTGAGAGGAGGATGTACTACGTTACATACACTATAGACAGTGAGAGTAGGGTGTAACACATTACATACACTATAGACAGTGAGAGGAGGATGTAAGACATTACATACGTTATAGAAAGTGAGAGTAGGGTGTAACACATTACATACACTATAGACAGTGAGAGTAGGGTGTAACACATTACATATACTATAGACAGTTAGAGTATATGTAATGTGTTACACCCTACTCTCACTGTCTTTAGTGTAATACGTTACATACACTAAAGACAGTGAGAGTAGGGTGTAACACATTACATATACTATAGACAGTTAGAGTAGGGTGTAACACATTACATACACTATAGACAGTGAGAGGAGGGAGTAATACGTTACATACACTAAAGACAGTGAGAGTAGGGTGTAACAGATTACATATACTTTAGACAGTTAGAGTAGGGTGTAACACATTACATACACTATAGACTGTGAGAGGAGGGTGTAACACGTTACATACACTATAGACAGTTAGAGTAGGGTGTAACACATTACATACATTATAGACAGTGAAAGGAGAGTGTAGCACGTTACATCCACTGTAGACAGTGAGAGGAGGGGACAATATGTTACATACATTATCGACAGTGAGAGGAGGGTGTAATTCGTTACATACACTACAGACAGTGAGAGGAGGGTGTAGCACGGTA